TCTCTTCCCCCCTTCCCTTTGAGATTTGCCAGTCTGTTCAATGTTTCCATGCCTCTGGTTCTATTTTATTTATCTGCTTATTTTGTTCATTAGATTGCTTGTTCGTTTATTTTGACTTTTAGATTCCAATCAGTATTTTCTTGTTTCCTTCTATTTTATTTCATTTTCAGATCAAAACCAAAATTCATCTCAACTCTTCCACACATTGTGTTCTTTGGGTTAACGGTTCTATGTAAAGCTAGGGGATAGCCTCCTTTGCCTCCAAACTACTCATGTGTACATCCCATAAAGGGATCCCTAAACCAGCAATCCCTGGGAACAGTAGTATGTGCATTGGTTCAGAGTACAGACTGGAGCCAACCGTTTGGATTGAATTGTACTTGGGTAACTTCCTAAATGTGTGGTCCTACGGGAGTTGCTTAAACTTTCCAAGTTTCCTCAATTGTAAAATGAGGATAATAATGAAATCAACCACTTCTAAGGGTTATATTATAGTGATTAAATGACTACAAGTAAGACACTTGAGACTAGGTCCAGTACCTAGAGAACACTATGAAATATCAGTTATTGTCTCAATGACCACAAAGCCTAAATGTGGACATTATTGCAATTGATCCACAATTTATACCCCAAAACTAGACAAAGGCACCCCTGCCCGCTGCTGCCTGTCACTTCCCCAGCTCTTCAGGCTGCAAGAATGTCTGCTCTGGATTAGGGGACTGGCTCATGGTGGTGGTGGGGGGGGGGGGGGGAATATAATAGAAGGTGGAAAGAACCCAGTGAGAATCAGAGCTCAATAGCCAATTGTTAATCCAGGGCAGAGATTTCTTTGTCTCCATTATTCGCTTTCAGGCCACATGGCCTGAGGCACTGCCCTGAGTCTCCAGGGAGGCAGTCTGTGCCTAGGAAACACAGCATCCTTCCAAGAGCTCGCCTCTTTTCCAGCTGCCTTTCCAAAACACCAGCAGGAGTCATGTGGTTGAATTCCTGTGTCACTGGAAAAAGGAATGCTTTATAACTTGACTCTAAGCATCCAAATCTTTCTCTCCAAATCTGGGGCGAAGTAAGGTTTCTGTGACAGGCAGCTCAGCCGGCAGAAATGGTTGGGGCCTTGGCAGGGAGAAGAGGTGAGAAGCTGCCCAGAGCAGCTGGGAGGCGGAGTCACTCATCAGCCACTGCTTAGAAGGGAGGCTTTTTGAGAGAAACAGTTAAGGGAGAATGCACTGTCAACATTTCTGCATTTTGCTCTTCAGATAATCAAAGAAATCAGGATGACAGACAGAGTCCCCTACTGGGAAAATGCAGCTCTTTGCAAACCAGATTAGAGGGTTGGGAGTGGGGAGAAACATGGAGGAGCCATGGTAGAGACACTTCTATTCCTGGGGATGTGGGAAGAAGTAGGAGAGAGGCAGAGCTCCAGCACGTCTCCAAATGGATGGCCCCTGAGGCTTGAAACTGGACAGATGGATGGGACCAGCAGTGTACACAAATCTACTTCCCAGCTTTCTGGCCAAGGGTTGTGACTGCAGAGATGGAAACTGATTTGTCAGGGACCCCAGGGGGTGCTCAGCTCAGAAAGCAGGAAGCAGAAATGGTGGGATCCGGTGAACGAGGCAGATCGGTGGCCTGTGTGCAGAATTATACCGGGAATAGAAAGCAGCAATGGCTTTGCATTCTAGGCCAAGTTTGGGGGCTGCTCTCCAGGGGGCTGTGCCAGAAAGCAGGGACAGAAGGGTAGGGGCTTCCCAAAGCTGTGTGTCCAGGCTCACGAACCCCAGAGCAGAGAGTCTTGAGGATTTTTCTTGTATTTGCTGAGTGCAATCAAGCTTATGAACGCAAGTCTGAACTGTTGGGTTCATTGTCTTGAGAAGTCTACCAATGAATTCACGGACGAGGGAGGGGTAAGCAAAGGGAAGTGAAGTTTATTACAGCAAAAGTAACGAAGCTCTCAGCATTCAAGAGGGGTCCTGAAAAGGTTGCCCCAGAAGCACACGAGTCTAGGGGTTTATATTTCCTGTTCTTGCCCTCTATTGGCTCTTTCAAAAAAACAGACCAGTCAATCTCCTTTTGCCCTCATCTCCCCGTTTTAGTTCCCGCTCTTGGGTTCAGGGGCAAGGGCTGCTCTACGGGTGACTGGTACATTCCGCCTATCTTGCTCACATCCTGACCATCTGGCTCATCTCTTCTTTATCTACCATCTTCCCTCCTGGCGGCCCTTACCCTAACCTGCCTGATCCCATCTATTCCTCATGTCTTACACAATTACAGAACATGCTTTTTCACAGTTGAGCACGAGGCAGGAACTCGGTTTCCTTAAGGTTGACTCAAAATTTCAAGTTTGTGGGAAATGAGAAAAAGGGGTGCTCTTATCATCACTTTCCCGCCAGGTTTCTATCGTCTGGGCCTGATTTCAAAAACACTGATATAATTCTCACCTTTGAAATTAGCCTGATTTAAAAGCCCTTGCTGATATTATTTTTTCAAGTTTCCACTCAGATAAATCTTTTCACCAATGATTGTCTAATGAAAGAGGCAGGGGATCTAATTGGGAACCTTTTCTTAATAGTCTTTCCTCTTCAGAGGAAAGAGAAAATACTTGAAACACTGGAAATTTTAACATTGGATTTATGTTTCCAAAGCTGCAAAATAATTAGGACTCCAGTACAAAAATTCTTGGGGAGAGACCCTTACCCTTTATGTAAATGGAAAAATAAATTGATTTCCAGAAGAGAAGCTTTGATTTTCATGGTACCCCTAGGTGCTACCAATACTACTTTAATACTGCTGTTAATGCTCCAGTGCTACTCACTGTCAGTAGTCAATACTACTGTTACTATCACTGTTAAAGTTATTTTTTTAATTGTTGTGCAAATACTCTAAAGCCCTGCTTACTTCAACAACCATGCACATGTAGGGCTTTTTTATTTTCTAGGCCAAAAACTCTCATTTTACTACTGCATTACATTGCCATAGCATTTCCCAGTTCGCAATGCTTTTATTTACTTTTTAAAATATATTTTTATTGATTTCAGAGAGGAAGGGAAAAGTGAGAAAGAGGGATAGAAACATCAATGATGAGATAGAATCATTGATTGGCTGCCTCCTGCATGCCCCCTACTGGGGATCAAGCCCACAACCCGGGCATGTGCCCTTGATTGGACTCAAACCCAGTACTCTTCAGTCTGCAGGCCGATGCTCTATCCATTGAGCCAAACCAGCTAGGACCACAATGCTTTTAGATACAGTATCTCACATTCATTCCTCAGAATGATCTTCTGAGACTGGAAAAGCAAGTAATATGATTTTTGCTTTTGTTTTTAACTAATGTATTTCTTGAAAAACACATTCTTTGTCTCAATTCTCATACATCTGGTAACAAATTCAAGTAGAAGGGCATAAATTGAAAGTCAACCCTCTCTTAACCTATCCCCACCCTAATCTCCTTCCAAGAAATAACTACTATTAAGAGTTTCTCTATGTTCTTTTAGAAGTTGTTATGCCCACACTACTACAATTCTATGTGTGCCCTTAAGAAATAAACTCACGCACGGGAGCAGGCTCTTTTCTGTTTTGTGTCTTGCTTTTTTTCAATTAACCATGTATCTTGGAGATCTTTAATAAGAATATATAGAGCTCAACCTCATTCTTTAACAGTCTATATAACTGGTTCTCTAGTGATGGGTATTTAGGTTATGTCCAGATTTTTCTGTTACAATGCTACAATGAGCAATATTAGCAAAAAGTTATATCATGCGTACTTGGTGTTTTTCATGTATATGAAGTCAGTTAATCCTCACAACTATCCAATAACATAGAAAGCATCATTACTCCATTATAGAGATGAGAAGATAGGCAGAGAGATGTTAAGTAATTTGTGGAAAGTCACACAGCTGGTAAGTGGTGGAGCACAGACTTGAATACAGACAGTCTGGCTCCAGGACCCAGCCTCTTAACCAGACACACCGCACTGTGTCTCTGTGTTTTCCATTTGTGATGAGATCTGAAAAGCCAGGAAACACTTTATCATGGGGGAAACTGAGACCAGAAAGGTTCATGCCCACTGCTGCATAGCTGCGTAGCGATGGAACAGGACTAGAAACCAGAGCTCCGAATTCCTAGACCCTTGCTCATTCCCTTCCTCTTGGTGTTTTCAGAATGTTGTCTCTTCAAATTCCTGAGAACTTCTGAACACTCTAGATGTAACTGGAGTGTCTGCATTGAGAGTGGTTTAGGAAAAGTGATTCAGAGACATGGGGCCATCATGAATGAGTTCATTTCTCAGGGTCTAACACTCGGATCCTGCACTAGTACCTACTGTAGTTGAAGCAAGCGTTACCACAGAATATCTTTCATGTAAAAATGTGCTTTCTGAGTTTCAAGTTTAAAGATATATTATGCCGCATTTTATTCAATGTTACCACTCATTTTGGGCCATTACCACAAAGAAAAATGTATTAAAGCATGGATGCTTAGACTAAACAAAGTACGCCCAATTTAATCCTCCATGTCTACTCATCTACCACAGAGAAAGTGGCGTGGAACCACGTTCTAGCCTGGCCAGGGGATTGCATAGCTGTACTCTGTATCTGAAACCATCTTCCCATGTGCTGGGCAGCACTTGAGAGTTGTGAGCAAAACTATTTTCAAGCGCCCCTTGAATTGAAATAGTTCAAGAATTTCCCTTAGAGCCGCATACCTCCCTGGTCCTGGCCCCACTTGATTATGAATGCCTTAGATTAAAAGGCTGGAAGGCTCCAGAGAACCATCTAGTCCAGCCTCCATAAACGCCTCTAGTGCTTTATTATCTGCCAATCATCTCGCCACTTAGAAGTTCCCGAGACCCCCATGACCACCCTCTGAAAGCAGGTACTATGTCTTTACACTTTTTATATCCCCTTCACCAAGACAGGGCTTGACCCATAGTGGAAGCTCTGCAAATATTTGTTGAATCCTTCCCTGTTTGTGTGTTGACCCAAAATTTCCCCCCTCTGTTGTACCAGCTGTTGCCTAGGGAACCTGAGCTCTTCCAAGCTTGACGGAGAACCAGGTCCCTGCCTTTGCTGCCAGAAGAAAGACTTGAGACTGGTTTCTGGGCTACATACTTAGGTTTAAAACTTTTTCTTCATTTATTCATCAGTTGTGCACCTACTAGAGAGGCCAAGAGTTAGTTTCATGTGGATGACAGACACAGCATGGAACAGACATATACATATATAATCACAAATCCAAAGAGAGACTATACTATGCACATATATGCTATGTATATTCTACTTTACTATGAGACTACCCAAGAGATGTAATTGAGACAAGGGAAGATGTCTCTGAAGAAATGACATTTAAGCTGAAAGCTGAAGGACAGACAGGATGCAATTACATGCAGAGTAGGGGGGAAGAGAAGGCCAGCAGAGGTACAAAGTCACCAATTCAAGAAAAAAACTTGGAGTGGGAGATACGTCTGATGGCCCACATTATATCCCCTCAGCCCTCCTCTGTTTCAGCCATAGCTGTGGTAGATGGTCCCTGTGAGCTGAAACTCACCTCTAGCTGACAGCCACCTACCTCAAGCATCTGTGTATCTTTCTGCTTTCTCTGATAATGCCTCAAGTGCAGTGTGCAAGTGCAGGGGTATTAAACCCACCCGGTCAGGCAACCCTCAACCATGGAGGACAGGAGCTGGTTGATAAATGCCCCAGCCTCCCCTCCCTTAGGGTCACCTCTCTGGGAGGCAGTCTGTTTTCTTCTCAGGAGGTTGCAGCAAAATAGAGCCCTGTTGCCCAGAACAACAATCCCAAAAATGCTCTCCTATTCTTTCTCCCCTTCTTTTCTTTCTCACTCTTCTCATGCCTTCACCCCCTTCTCAATCACCCCCCTCTTGCACCTATGTCATTTTAAGGGAACTCAAATCTAGGATACATACATATTAGAGAAACTGAAAAAAAGTCTGAAAGGGAATGAGCAAGGAAAAAAGTAAAGCAAAATGAGGTTGGGATTGTAGGGTGGGGACAGACTACGCAGAATTGTGAGCCAGAAAGAGAATGTTACAGTAGGTGAGCAATGCAGGAGGCTCTAAGAGTAGTCCAGGCAACAAGATGGTGGCTTGCACTGTGATGTTAGCAGCAGTGATGAAAAGAGAGGGACTGGTTGAGATATTTTAAAAGTAGAATGGTCCACACTTGCTAATGGATTGAGTTAGAGGAAGGAAGGGATCAAGGATGATCTGGCTTGAGCAAATGGGTGGATGGTAGTAATATTTAACTGAGAATAGAAGTACAGAGGAAGGAACAAGATTGGGCAGGAAAATCAAGAGTATAATTTTGTTTTCCTAATATCTGAGGAGTCTGTGTGACATCCAAGTGGAAAACATCAAATATACATTTGGATGTGAGTCAGGAGCTCGAGGCAACGGCCAGACTGTAGATTTTTAGGGTCATATGTCATGTTTAAACCAAGGGACTGGGTGAGTCCACATAAAGAGATTGACGAGTCAGAGAAGAAAAGAGGGCCTGTGGTGGATCCCTGGAGAACTCTAACATTTGGACAGCAGATAGGGAAAGAAGAGGTAGCAAATGAAATTACAAGGAGCCACCAGAAATACAGGAGGCTTGTGGTACCACACAATCCAAGAGGGGAGAGTGATTCGCTCTAGGAGCAGGGGCTGTGTCTTTTTTGCACTGGTATCCCAAGTGCCCAGAATTGCAACTGGTACATAACATAATAAAACATCCCACAAATATTTGTTAAGTGATTAAAAGAATTAATGAATTATTGGTTTCCTGCCTGTTGTCTCTCCTTCTTCTAATTTATGTTACATATCTGGTGCCATAGCAACCTTCCTAGTGTAACAGATATCTTACATCTTCCCTACCCAAAGCCACTGATGGCGCATCATAAGCTCACAAAATCCAGCTCTTCAATTTAGAATTCCAGATGCTTGGCAATCTGGTCCCTACTCTGCATACACCCCAGTTCTACTTGCTGTTTTGTGTCTCCTATGCTTTGCCAACCCTGGTTATTGACTCAAACCTGAATAGTCAGCCTGGAGTGATGTCATTTTGTTTCCCTCTCCTGAATTCTCCTATCCACCTCCAACCCCTTCTCTAAGCAGAAGGTCAAATCCCATCTCCTCTATAAAAACATTCCCATATTTCCCCTCTGCCTGAGCATTATTAATCTCTCCCCTCCTCTACTTCTAATTACCTACCAGTATAATAATAAAAGCGTGACATGCTAATTAGACCAGACAGCCAGACGTCCTTCCAGACGTCCTTCCAGACGACCTTCCAGATGAAGCCGAGGGCTGCGAGGGCTGAGGCAAGCCACCGCAGCTGCAAGGGCCAAGCCCCTTGCACGAATTTCATGCATCAGGCCTCTAGTCTAATTATAATATACACTGCTGTTTGCTTTATATTAAGGGTATGTGAGTGTGAGTGTGTGTGTGTGTGTGTGTGTGTGTGTGTGTGTGTGTGTGTTGCCCACTAGGTCATGAGCTCCTAGGTGATAAGGCCCCCACAACACCTAGAACATTGTACATGCTTGGTAAATGTACCAAATTGAGAACCTTTTCATGAGAAGCCCCAAGTTTCAGGTTGGCTTCTATTCCAGGCTTAGCTGCTTATAACCTTGGGCAGGTCGCTTAACCTCTGTTGGCCTCCCATGCCTCATCTCTAAAATAAGATTAATCATATCAGGGTTGCTGTGAAAATTAATTATTTATTATTTTGAAAGTGCCTTGAGATCTTAGAGATTGGCATTTCTATTTTTGTGGCATCTTTCTCGCTAGAGATTGCAATTCTTTTTAAAGAAACACGCAGAGGAGAGGCATAGACTGTTCAAAGAACAGTTGTTGTTTTCTTCAGAACCTGAAATAATTACATCCTGTATTTCAGACAAGGTCATTCTTTACCCTTGTAGTAAATGATGGAGTCTTTAAAAAACCTGCCTTTCCTACCAGTGACTTTAAAGTGATTACAGTATTTATGCTGAATTATAAAAAGATGAGTAAGGATTCTATCATGCAGAGAATAGAGATTTCCCTGAGGGAAGAAATAAATGCATAAAACGTTTAAAACATACTAGATGTAAATGACCTTTACAGAAACAAGTCTCCTGGTCAAGACTACTAGTAGAAACACTTACTTGAGGAATTTGTTCATTTCAAGACACTCAAAACATAGCCAAGTCAAGGGCAAAGAGAGCAAAGTCACTGATAGAATAACTCATGTTTCGTATACATTAACTCACTCAGTCTTCACTATGTTCCCATGAGATACTCAAGGAAGGTCTTACTCAACCTGTTTTGTGGTTGAAGAAATTGCAAGACAGTGTGATTGTGCAACTTGTCCAAGGCCACTCTGTACTTCATGGAGCCAGGACTCAACCTCTTTTGACTCAAGTCCAGGGCTCCTCCCACTCACCTCACTAGTGCTCTGAGCACTGTGCAAAGGACACCAAGGCTGCATGAAGATAAGACAGGAGAGCAAGGAGGACGGGGACTTCAGAGAGCTTCCTAGGCTGCTTTGAGTCTCTCTTCTCAATAGGTCCCTTAGCTGCTCTGCACAAGGATCCCCTTTTCCCAGACACTAGTGCTCCCTCAGTGTGTAGCTGAGCTTTATTCTGCTGCCTCCTTCCCCTCAGTCAGGGCTTCCCTCCCATCCCAGGCTTCTATCAACTGGCTGCTGCATGGAAGTAACTAGAAAGCACTGAGCAGGAGAGTGTTAATGGTACCAGAACCCAATGCTCCCAGCACACAAGGGGTAGCATCTATGGGGATCTCAAGTTTACATCCAGAGCTGCTTCCCTGTGGTTCTCTGAAGAGAGGAGTGGTACCCAGACATGGCAGCTCCTGCAGTCTGAAGGGACACCCTTGAAGAATGTCCATGACGCAAACAAGTCTCCTAACTTTGCATCTCCTTTGTCCAAATCCTTCTTCTGAGAGCAGAAGTGAGTGAACTAAGAAGGAGCTTAGACTCTGAATCTAGAGAGGTGCTTCCATCTTAAAGATGAAAAGGCAGTCACTTCCTGTAGCTTGTTCTCTCTGCTGCACTCCCTCAGCACTTTAACAGCTCTTGCAACATTCCTCACCTTGGGCCTTGGGTTATAGTTATCTGTAGACCAGTCTTATCTCCCCTATTGAATCATAAGCTTATTGAAAACAGAGAAAATATTTACTATTGTGGTAGCAGTAGTGGGAAGCATTAATTATTGAATATTAAACTGGGTGGTAGCTAGGTCCTAAGCACTTCACATATCTGGTGTAATGAGTCTTTGCAACAGCCCTAGGAAGCAGGTATCATTATTTCATCCAAATTTTATAGCTGAGGAGATAGAGAAATGGATAAATTATTTGCCCTAGATGTCAATCTAGTAATCATTGAAGCCAGGACCAGGAGGGAGGTCTGTTGTTATCCTTCTCTGTAAACCCTGAATGACCTAGTAGGACAATTTGACATTCCTTAAGTTACAGTAGGACCTGGAAGCACACTTAATAGGCTATCATAAATATTTACTTGATTGAAGTAAATTGATGTATAATTAATTTGGGAGGACATAATAATAGTTAACATTTTCATTGCCAGGACCTGTGCTAAATGTACTATGTATCCAATATCTCTCTCAATGTATTCTGCATTTACTCTCAATATCTATCTCTACCTATCCCTCTCCCTCTCTTCTCTCCCTTTTCCCCTTCTTTCTCTTCCCCCAAACAAAACATCTGTCTTTATTTTCCTTTCAATTTATATAATGAGGAAACTGGGTCACTCATAGAGTTTTCTCCACTCTGGATTTTGTAGATTATATTATATAGTCCTCATAACAATTATATGATTAATCTTATGAGGTAGTTCCTATTATTATCCCCATTTTGCAGGTGAGAAAAACATGGCTTAGAGTGATGAAAAGTTGGTTAAGGTAACATAGAAATTTGTAAATGAGGACACAAACTGGGGTCTCACTGACTCCAAGACCTTAGATCAGACAGCCTCACTTCTGACCTTGCCCAATGAGCATCTGCCATATGGATGCCAATCTCTCTGCTAGAATTCATCTTGCCACGTAGACTGAAATATTAAAGTACAATAGTGCTTATATGGTTTATGTGTACTTGCAAGTTTTATGAGGATTATAACAATATTTAATGTTTGACTAAAGCATAGTACACACAATTCTCTAAAATGACAAAGTAAGAAATTTGTCTTAAATAAATCAGAGACATCACATTTTTATCATGGGTAGCCAATTTTCAAAGTTTTTCAAAATCAAGTTCTTTAACTCATAAGTTAAAAGGTAAAATATATAAGTAGATTTGAAAAGGATTTAAATAAAGTATTAGATCCATAGTGGTTTACAAAAGGAAGCCAAGGATATCTGTAATAAATATCCCATCTTTAAAAATTGTAAATAAAAGTAATAAATATTTATTATTGAACATTTGGAAAAAAAATTTAAAATACAAAGGTAATAAAAGCCACCTCCCATGGTCTTACTCTCAGCCCCTCTGCTGTTGAGGCTGACACAGGAAGAACAGCAAGTCTCTTGCTCGGGATGTGGCTGCAGAGGTGAAGTTTGGCCTGCATGTAGCAAAGTTCTGATTTCTGGTGTGAGATCCCTGGAGAATTT